CAAGATACGTCATCCATCCACTCATCAGGTGAGAAAGCAGTTTGCATGCTCATGCACACAATCAAGACCATAGATAAGTAGGAAAGAAATCCAGAATTACCCCCGCAGGACATTACCATGCACACAAACACATGGGCATCCTGTAGGTGCACGACACTTACCTGAGTCGCCTACTTGAGGGAAGCCCTAAAGTCGCTAAGTGGCTCCCTTGAGTCCAGATTTCCAGGTGTAAGTGCCTCTCACTATCGCCTCTCTCAAATTGTCGCACGAAGTCTTCTTGGAGTGTCTCATCAGCCCAATCTGACACTCAAGCAACCTGGTCAGGTCCAATGTTGACCCAACATGACCTAACCAGGTGGGGCCAACTTTCCCTTACCACACTTCCCCACTTCCCACTTCGGACCAGCCCTAACCCTTAGCTTGAGCTTGAGCGCCAAAATCAGCTCTCGCTAGCAAGTAGAATCCGCTTTGATAACAGAGTTACAATCCTGGCCAATTTTGATGTGCAAAATCACGAGAAAGTACAATGTCGTCCGATTGCAAAAACAAGTGAATGAGGAGAGAGGGAGAGAAGAAGAAGATGTACACCACCAAAAGACCAATGATAATTCCCCCTTCTTCTTGCCAACCAAACTCCTCCTTTTCTACTCACCTGCGAGGGTTTGACCCCTCGACATATGGCCCTGCAACAGGCGCGTGCCCCCCCTAAGTGAAGGCGGGCCCCCTGAATCTGAATGCGCCCTGAACTTGTCAATATTCGCAAATCCTGGTGGGCGCCAGACAGTTGCCACGCGCTAGTTGGTTACATCCACCCAACACGTGAGAATGGGAAAGATTCGTGAGCCTTCCAAGCCATTCTCAACGTGGCCAAAGCAGGGGACATCGCACGTTTGTGCCTGGGTGGTTGGACATGCCTAACCAATTTGGTCCCAAACCACTGTCTGAACGAACCTGGGCGCAAACACTTTGGCCGAGACTCGAGTTGCTGGAAACTCGGTCTCACATAATCGTGGCCAGGCAAAGCGCCAGCCACTTTCCATATAGGAAAGGGACGGGCGTCGAGGAGGACATTTTCGGGCACTTGCAAGTTTGCGGCAGCGCTGCTCGAGCGTGCGCTCGCGGGCTGCTGTCTGCGCACGGCAAGGTGTTCGCGCATGTGCGGTCATGTGAGGCAGGGCGCTGCTATGGGCACCGCCATAGCTAAGCTTCCATAGCTGGTTCGGCTTGGGGCACAGCAAAGGGTAGTGGTGGTGTTCGTGCATGAGGGAGAAGGCGTGGCTAGATAAGACGAGGGAGAGAGACAGAGAGACAGATGAGGATGGTGATGTGGAACACGTACCTGGTCCTGCCGATTCTCTACAAGGGTCGACATCTTCATGTACTTCGGTTCTGCAGCTAACGTCAACAATTCCATTGTCAATTCGTAGGTTGGTAGTAGTTGCGTGATAGTAGTCTGGGCGTCGAGCGTCAAGTAGGAGAAGGGCTCTGCATACTTATGTTGGTGATGGCGAGAGTATGCTCTCATTAACACTCTGATTCAGTGTTTCGATTCTCCGTTGGTGTAATACCGGTGCAATTTTGCTTTCTGTATAGTGTCGAACTTCCTGGCTTTCAATGTGATTTTTCAATAAAGAATCTGTCATTTCGTTATTGCTCATTTTCCCTGCAATTTGGTATCAGAGTTGGTTCAAACTACTCTTGGCTTGTTCTTCGCAATAGTTGTCGGGTGCTTCGCTAGTGATGGTGGGGCAGTGATAACGCCTGGACGTTGAACAGTGGGCGGCCCAATGTCAAGTGGGCATGCCAGGAAGGCTATGTCATGACATTGTGGTGTACGCTGGATAATTAGAACTCGTTGATGTGGCATTTAAGCCGAGGTGGAACTGCATTCCCCTGTTTGTTATGCCAAGGCAAAGACCGGTCATCATAAATGCACGTCGGGTTGCTAGTGAGAAATTTGTGGTTGGGGGCAGCATTATGAGGTGCGTTGCTCATCCTACCTCTTCATTGCTTCTTACCGTGAGGAAGTGAGTTAGTTCTCTCTTGAGAGTCCTCTTGAAGTGAGGTGTCGCGAGTGCTCAACCTTGAGAGTCGACATTCTTCTTGGGCAGCAAGCTGGTGGGAGACGGGCGAAGCCTCTGAAGGGCCCTGGACGAAGCACTCGGGTCACACTCACCATGCCAACCCGTTGGGACTAGTACACACATGCTTTGCCGCAAGGGCCCTGGATGGCTCGTTGCATGCGAGGATAAAGAAAATTGCAGAGCAGGCTGGCTTAGCATAGCCTTAGGGCACAGGGTTGGGTCGGATTGCACACCTTCGGACACACTGCTCAACCAGATGCTCAGGATGTCGACACTAAGTGGTTACCCAAAAAGAATACAGGAGGAGGGAAGACTATGGCAAACTGCTCGCTTACTAGTTGGTGAAAATATTTCCATTCAGCATGCATCATCACAGGGGACTTTATTTTTATGATTAGTTAGTTGTAACAGACTTGGCTGACAACATACAAACAGTTGTAGATAGAGTAGATATTATTCTTTGCTGCATTGCACTCTGTTTTAGTCAAAAACAGAAATAGAGTTACTTGTAGGATCTGACATTAGTTGCTGATTACCGCTTGACTATTTTCCTACATAGCTGACTGAAAATAATTGTTTATTCTTAATCGGTTGGATGCCGCCATGTTGAGGTAGGATTCGGTGTGAATTCTACTTCAGATCGCAGATCATTGTAGCTCATGAGTGATGACGAAGTCAATGATGAAGAAGGACTAGTGAGGGAGAACCTTATAATTACTTGTAGAACTACACTAGTTGTCCAATCACATCTCTAGAGTTAGGTTCACGAGAGGAAAGGAGACTGTGAGCTGAGGTGAGAGAAAGGGACTTATTGAAGAGAGTTACGCAAGCGGCGGCCGAGGCTCAAAGGTTTGTGGACTCAATTACTGTGTTAGGTACAGAGACCGTAGTATCGACATCAATGGCTTCCGTCTCCGCAATGTCTTTCGTTTCAAGCCAGTTCGTCAGGTGTAGGAGGGAGTAATCACATTTCTGGAGTTAGGTTCACGAGAGGAAAGGAGACTGTGAAATCACATTTCTGGAGTTAGGTTCTGGAGAGGAAAGGAGACTGTGAGCTGAGGTGAGAGAAAGGGACATACTGCAGAGAGTTAGGCAAGCGGCGCCCGAGGCTCAAAAAGGTTTGCGGACTCAATTATTGCGCTAGGTACAAAGATCGTAGTATCGGCAGCAATGGCTTCCGTCTCCACAATGTCTTCGAGTTCGTTTCAAGCCAGTTCGTCAAATGTAGGCGGGAGTACATCAGGGTCTTCCATTAGTCAGTCTTCTGGATCGCAAGTTAGCCAGCAGCCTCTTTTGTCACCAGAGGACTATGAGATCCTGCAAGTGGATGCTCTTCACGATGAGTTGCAACAACAGTTGAGGGAAGTAGACGAGAGGAGATAAAGGGCTAGAATGAGAAAGGCTAGACTAGGAGCAAGGAGGCGGGAGTTAGGAGCATTAGAAGCCCTAGATGAGTCAACATTGGATCTTATGTTTCAGCCGCTGCGTCGCTCGCTTCTTTGCATAGCAGAAACACATGTTGTTCAGTCGGAACTGCTGACCGAGCTAGTGGCCGGCCATAATCGCATTTTGGCAGCACTGCAGACTCCTCGTCCCATGATGAGACAACCTAAGTACTCTGTAGCTCCCCCTACAATTGCGGGTCCCTCAGTGACGTCGTTGCTGGCAGGGCCCTCTTTCCCTCCTATGTATGGTATGCCTCTTTCGAGTGTGTAGCAGCAGGTAGTGGTCAGGTCCTTAGGACTTCTCCCCTTCCATCAATGACGGTTGCAGCTACAGTCCAGCCGTCAGGGGAGCCTCAGGTTAGCATGCCGCTATCTGCCCCATTGGTTATGCAACCAATGTAGCAAACCCCTGGGGTAATCCAACCCATGCAGTGGATGCCCAAGATACCCTTGCCGAGTCCTTAGCCCTTCTCTGGCGACAAGAAGAAGGAAGAGGACTCGGATACCTAGGTGAGGACTGTACCTACTTATATGAGGCAAAAACGTGAGAACAAAGGAAGAAATTATTGTTGCTGCATCCTTTTTAGGACCTGCAGCCAGATGGTTGAACGGTCTAGTGCAACAACAGGGCTACGGCCAGATCTTCGATGCTTGGGCACAAGCCCGAACATTGGAGTTCATACGGATGGTCTACAACAGATGGCATGATCCCCAAGGGGCTCAGAAAGCCACCGACTCGCTTCCTAGTCTAGGGTCCAAGAAGTACCGGACTGTACGCGAGGTAACAAACACCGTAGAACGTCTGATTGTGGTACTTGGAGTGCGCTACGATCAGCAGGTGCTCCTCACAACTTATTGCGATGTTTGCCCACAAACGTAAAAAATAAGTTGGTGGACAAGGCCACCATAGATCTGCATAACTTTGCGACCTTCAGCAAGAAAGCCTTAGACATAGAGGCTAAATTTGGGAACGCACAACAGGGACCAGTAAATGGAAGGAAGAAGAAGCTTCCTCAGGATTGGAGAAAGAAAGGCAATCTCACATTCGTTGACCATGGTGGTCAGACGATTGAGATTGTCGACTTTCTTGATTTTGGGGAAGACACAGAGCAGGACAGGGGCGGTGAGACTTTGGATGGGGGAGTCGTTGCACCCATCAAGGAAAGGCTAAGGGGACCGAGAAACAAAAGGTAGGCCCGTCTAAGGGTTAAGGCGACCAAGGGACACCAATCTAGGTGCGACTTGGTATAGATTAGGAGGTATGGAGGGACCGAGTTGCAAGGGGCACATGTCTCAACTGTGGCAACTTTGGCCACACGTTTAGAACTTGCCGAAGCAAAAAGGTTGCGACGAAGGTAGCCTCTCCTACGGTGCTGGGCTTATCTTCGAACTCCGGTGGTGCTTCTGCGAGCACTTTGCAGGGAAACGCGGGCCAATAGGAGTTTTAGTCGCTCTTACTCGCGCTGAAGTGGTAACGTTGCCTTCTCCACTTCAGGCGTTGGCCAAGGCTATTGACCCACTAGTCGCCCCGCAGACACATATAGACCAACCGATGCTCTGTTCGAGGGATGTGTCCGAGTCCTTAGAAGAGTTAGAAGCTGAGTGGTCACGTAAGGACCCCAGAGACTCTTGGGTGATGATCAGTAGAGGTCCGAAGGGTGAACACTTCATGGTGGAGGTAGATGCAGGTGGCCGCAAAGTTGGCACCTTCACACACACAAGCTCTACACGGAACTTCATCAGTCGGTTTTGTGTGGGTAGGCTGCGCTTAAGGGACCAAGTTCAGCGGCTTCATAGATCTGTAGCATCCACTTCAGCCAACAAGCATAATATGGTAGTCCAAGACTACGTCAAGGACGTAGTGTGCACCTTCTCCTATGGAGGAGGGGAACTGAGACACAAAATCTCGTTCCTTGTGAGCGACGAGCTGCCATTCGACATGTTGCTAGGTATGTACTACCTCGAGGTCGCAAAGCTGCAATTCAATTGGGATAGGAAGGTGATGATCCACAAGTTGCCAAATGGAAGAACCATTAGGCTACAAAAGTATAATGCTAGCAGACTAATGAAGAACTATGGCTGCATGTGTACTTCGCTAGGAGGGGATGTTTCTAGTCTTTGTCTCTGAAAAAGAGGAGGTCGTTAAAACACCTCCAGAGATAAAAGCAGTCATTACAAAACATTCAAACCTTTTCGAGGAGCCTAGGGGTGTGGTAGGGAGGTGGTCCACGCAATAGAGCTCATCCCTAGTAGCAAAGTACCTAAAGGACGAATCTATGGGATGTCTCCTGCAGAGTTAGATGAGTTGTGCCGCGAGCTCAAGGAGCTCACAAAGAAGGGCTGGATCCGGCCAAGTACGTCCCCCTATGGAGCACCAGTTCCATTTGTGCCGAAGAAAGGTGGGACCTTAAGGATGTGCATTGATTATAGAGGCCTTAATGCCATCACCGTTAAGAACATAGAGCCTTTACCCCGCATTGATGACCTCCGGGATAGAGTGCAAGGATGTCGGTACGTCACAAAGATAGATCTGAAGTCCGAATACCATCAGATTGCTATTAGGCATGAGGATCAACACAAAACCGCTTTTCATACTAGGTATAGTCTGTACGAGTTTGTGGTGATGCCCTTCGGTCTATGCAATACTTTTTCAGCACGCAATGAATCGGATTTTTCATGGCTGCTTGGACAAGTTTATCGTCGTGCATCTCGACAATATCCTTATCTTTAGTACGACTGTAGAGAAGCACGTTGAGCACTTAAAAATAGTGCCAGGTCTCTTAAGGCAGCACCAATATAAGACAAAATTGGAGAAATGTGAATTTGGTCGCACCAAGACCTTATATCTGGGTCATGTGATTTCTGCAGACGGCTTGAGGCCAGATGATGCCAAAGTGCCCAACATACGGGACTGGCCCAGACATCAGACTGTAATTCAGGTAAGGTTGTTTTTGGGGATGATAGGCTACTATAGCTTCCCCATTAACAGACCTAACACGCCTTGACACCCCTTGGGAGTGGACTGAAGAGTGTGATACAGCCTTCAAGAAATCGAAGTATGCTCTAACCCACTACGAAGTCCTTAAACTTCCTGATCGTGAAATGTCATTCGTTGTGACCACCGACGCTAACCAGTATGGCATAGGCGCGGTCCTTGCACAAAAGGAAGGGAAAAAGTTGACGCCGATCGAGTACATGAGCAAAAAAAATGCCATCTCAAAAATTAGCTAAGTTCACATACGAGTGTGAACTCTATGCCTATATAGAGCGCTAGTTTATTGGAGACATTATCTCCTGGGCAGATTCTTCTATGTGAGATCTGACCATGAGACACTTCGCTGGATCAAGACCCAGCAAGTACTCTCTGATGCCTTGAAATGATGGATTGAAGTCACTGATGTGTATGACTTCCAACTTCAACCACTAAAGGGAGAGTACAATAAAGTCATTGATGCACTTTCCCGTAGGGTAGATTACTTGGGGGCTCGAATAACTGAGTTTGGGATCTCAAAAGATGTAACTCAATCCATGGTGGAAGCCTACCAGGAAGATACAGTTATCTTAGAGATCATCCGCAAGCTAAAAGCAAAAGGCTGTTACTTTTGACGAGTTTGCGATAGTTAATGGCTTACTGTTCCTTGAGAAGGATCGGAATAAAAGACTGTGTTCCAGATAGGGAGTCTTTGTGTAGTTTATTTTTAGGAGAATGCCATCACGCAACTGGTCATTTTGGGTACAAAAAGACCTGAGCTAACTTAGACACAGATTATGGTGGCCCACTATGCTGCAAGATGCAAAGAAGTACGGGACAAGCCTAGGATTCAGGCTCCGCTCGAGCTCATCAAGCCCTTGCCCATTCCTGAGGGTCCCGGTCAAAGTGTATCCATGGACTTCCTGGACACTCTTGACCAGCAAGAGCGGAAAAAGACACATCTTCGTCATAGTAGACCGGTCCACTAAGTTTGCTAAATTAATCGCTATGCTAGAAACAACGAAGACTGACTGTATCATCAAGTTGTTTATGGATAACTGGGTACGGGACTTCTGCCAAAGTCCATTCGTTAGTGACAGAGATGTTCACTTCACAAGCGAGCTACAACAAAGTACAGCCCAACAGATGGGCACCCAACTGCAAATGACATCAGGGAATCACCCTGAGTCAAACAGTCAAGATGAACAAATGAACCGAGTAGTACAACACTTCGGCATTATATCGAACCAAGTCAGGAAGACTGGGACGAGAAATTACTTCTTATCGCCAGTCTCTATAACAATAAGGTACACAGTGCCACAGGACTAACTCCCAACCAATTACACCTTGGTTGGAAACCCAGATCTGCTCTGGACTTCCTTCTACATGAGAATCAGCCAACTGCAGCACCAGGTAGTATATAATTTGCCATCAAATACGAACAATTGTTGCAGCAGGCCGTAGAGCACATAAAGAAGTCTCAAGATGCTATAGTTACATCTGGGATCAAACATAGACGGCTTTCAACATCCCAGATAGGTGACAAAGTCTGGGTCAAGTCATCTGAACTTGGCCAGGAGTTGGGTATCTCACGTAAGCTGATGTCACAGTACTTTGACTCATGGGAGGTCCTAGACATAGTAGTGGATCAAATTGAACCCTCTTATGTGATACGTATCCCTGCCCACTTTTGCACACACCCAATCTTTCACGCCTCAAAGTTGGCACCTTTCGTTGAAACCACCCAGTTTCCTTCCAAACGCTCTATGCTTCCCCCAACCATGGACAGACGTGTGGACATTGACAACATCGTTGAGCACAAGTTGATGCCTCTGCGCAAGCCTTTAGGCAGACGACATCCGAAGAGCCACAAATGCAGTATCGGATGTAGTTCAAACATCATACTGATCCTCAAGAAGATCGGTGATTCACAACAGAAGAAGTAATGAAGACAACTCCTAAAATTATCTAAAGTTATGAAAGAAATTTGAAAGGGAAGCAGCCTGCTACATAACGACTTCTCAGAGGACTATCGAAGTAAAGGAGGGAATGCGAGGGTTTGAACCCTCGACATATGGCCCTGCAACAGGCGCGTGCCAACCGTAAGTGAAGGCGGGCCCTTGAATCTGAATGCGCCCTGAGCTCATCAACTTTTGCAAATCTTGGTCGACATCAAACAATTGCCACGTGCCAGTTGGTTACATCCGCCCAACACGTGAGAATGGGAAAGATTCATGAGCCTTCCAAGCCATTCTCAACGTGGCCAAAGCAGGGGACATAGCACGTTTGTGCCTGGGTGGTTGGGCATGCCTAACCAATTCGGTCCCAGGCCACTGTCTGAACGGGCCTGGGCGCATACACTTTGGTTGAGACTGAAGCTACTTGAAACTCGGTCTCACGCAATCGTGACCAGGCAAAGCGCCCACCACTTTCCATATAGGAAAGGGCCGAGAGCCCAGGAGGATATTTTTGGGCACTTGCACGTTTGCGGCAACGCTGCTTGAGCGTGTGCGCGCCGGCTGCTGTCTGTGCAGGGCACAACAAGGGGTAGTGGTGGTCTTCATGCATGAGGGAGAAGACATGGGTAGATAAGACAAGAGAGAGAGAGAGAGAGAGAGAGAG